GAACCGACAGTACCAGTTTTTCCTCAGGATTGTTTATCCTGCCAATCTTATAGAGACATAGGAAAGAAAAGAAAAAAAATAGCCTATAAATAGTTCCAGGTCTGTCTGTTGACCCTTACAAATGTTTTCTGTTCGGGTCCAATGCAGTGCCAAGCCCTACCTCTGGCTGCCCAGTTGTACATGAAGTGGGAGCAGGGAACAGAGAAAAGAGGCCAACCGTTCAAAAGGTATTGTAGTAGTCTGAGCAAGAAATTATGGTGGGAGGTTAGTTATGGCAAGGAGCCATGGAACTATCAAGAAATAATCACATTCCTGATATGCCCTGAAGACAAAAACCCATAGAAGAGAGTTCCTGTTAAGGGTGACGGGTGCACAACATGACGAAGGCAATCAGAGTCCCTGAATTCCCGTATGTGAGAACAGTGCTGACGCTGCACACGTTCCACACAACAGGACTGGGTAGAGGATTGACCTGACAGAGAGGACTCAGATGCTGGTGAGTGAGTGGAAGTGTCACTGGAGGGGTGGGAAGAGCAGGAGGCAAACTAGAGGAGAAAACGAAGAGTTTTGTTTGAGACGATGAAGAGGCTTCAAAAGTCCATGGAAAATTTCATGAAGCTTCCTCATGTGAGGTATCCCAGCGGACTGTAGAAGAGTAGCTCTTTTATGGTCCTACATAGAATCTGCGCTGCGTATGCCAGTTTGGGAGCCCTGATCTCCTCACAGACATTAGGATACAAAATCACGTTAAGTAATCTTTGGAAGCATTGCACCACTTTGTGCTTTTCTAACTTTGCGCCTGGGGATCCGTGTTTGCGAGCATGAAGGGGCAGGCCCACCAGTAAGAGCTCGAGAAACGGCTGGAGGGAGAAGACAGAAAAGGGAGGGTGGAAGAAGAACGAGCAAGAAGATGATTTCCACCTGATCCTTAATTTGTAAGAGATGCCAACAAATTAACATATTTTAGGAATATACAAGCTTTATAACTTTTGTTTAAAAATAGAACAAAACAGTTATAGTGTAAATAATTGTTACCTTCAACTCAATGTTACACAGCCCTTCTTTCTTAGTAACACTTTTGGACAGCTGTATTGCAGAAGGAGAATAATCGATCCCAGTAATATTAGAGAAACCACATTTTGCCTAGAGACAGAAAAATAATTTTATTCTTTTTTCAAAATTTTATTCTTTAGTTTAAATAAATTTCTTACTACAATTTTTGCCTATGAATTATCATAGTTCTTTATGGCTTGGATTGTTTGATTTTTAATATAGATCAAATGAGATATAATATCCAAAAATCTATGTGTAAATTTTATTGCAGGATTTAAACAGGAACAAAAGTTTAAATTTATATCAT